AAGTAACAATCCCCACATGACTCATGAGGCCTGATATACATTCCAAACCATTCCTATAAATAAAACAAAACTCATTTATCCTAAGCAAATCATATACCATAGTTGAAGCCTCCTCCTAAGCTATCTGTTTCATAACATCATTTACATTCAATCAGGACTTTGCATTCTGATTCAAAAAAAAAAATGAAAATTTTGGACTTGGCATATGAATGGCCAACTGATCAGCCGCCAAAAGCAAAGCAGCGGCCACACCACTAGATGTATTGGTGGTAAAATTAATAATATTATTATTTTTAAAATTTTTAATATTAATTAATATAAAAAATAAAATAATTACACATTTAATTTGTATTTTAAAAAAATATATATCTAAATATATATATTAAGAAAATAATTAAGAGATAATTTTTTATATTATAATATTAAAATTTAATTTTTATTAGAGTTATTATAAATTTTAATCTTATATTTAATTTTTTATTGTTAAATTTTAGTTATATTAATATAGAAATATAAATTTTGATTATTTATTTATTAAATTTAGTAAAATCTTGATTTTACTAATTCAATTTTACGATTTCGATTTTACCTACCCAAAACGATTTTAGGTAAAATTTCGATTTTAACAACCTTGCAAATGAGAAATGACCATTCCTCCAAATTAGGATATTTTTTATGTGTAATGACGATCACCATAAGCTTTATTACTGTGATTTGTAAAATATGAATGTACGACAATTTTGAAAAATTTGAAGAAACTCAAGTACTTAGAGGGCTTAAATTAGTAAGTTTGAGGACCAAAATAGGAGTTCTCCCTCCACTCTACTTTCCCAATGCCAATTTGAGAAACAGATTTCAGAGTTCAGACCCCTCAAAACCTGAAACCCCAACGGCTACTTTTGCAGCTTTGCTTTAAAAGTTTAGATTCCAACGTCTTTTATAGTACTATATAAACAAATCCTTCTTCAATTCTTCACTCCCACTGAATATCCCTCTTCAAAAACACAAAACATGTTCAAAGATCTCACCTTTGCTGCTCTCATTTTGTCTCTCATTCTCCTCAGGCCGCCGTGCTCTGGGGCACAGACCGGTGGCATAGTGCAGACAGAGCTATGGTGCGTGGCAAAGAACAACGCGAAGGACGCCGAGCTACAGGGAGCGTTGGATTGGGTGTGCGGCCAGGGCAGAGCCAACTGCGGACCCATCCAACAGGGCGGGCCTTGTTACGACCCCTCAGATATCCAGAAAACGGCGTCCTATGCTTTCAATGACTATTTCTTGAAGAACGGCATGACCGACGACGCTTGCGACTTCTCCAACACAGCTGCCCTCACTTCCTTAGACCCAAGTAACTATTTTTACTCGTAACCAATTAAACCATTGAAGTTTCGAATTTGTGAAATTTGTGATTAATATATGGGTGATTGTTTGGTTTTCAGGTAATGGTGATTGCAAATTCCCTTCCAGGTAATGGATATCTACTTGCTTGCTGTTTGCCGTTTGTTTCCCTGAAAGTTTTTCTTAGGAAAGTTGAATACCCAAAGAATCATTTCTTGATGCTAAAAGCGTGATATCAATTCTGTGATGCAGCAAGACGGTGAGCAATGCAACTATTTCTGGTGCAGCTGGAATGAGTCCGGAAAGTGCAGATTTCAGTGGGTGTGATGACATTTTTCACCCGCTGCTCTTGCTCCTAATCACGGGTCATTTTGTACTGGTCATTTTGCAGATAATTTGAGCTTACTTAATGAACAAGAAGCTTTAGGCTCTGTTTAGTATAGTGTTAACTTTGTTTTGCTAGATAATCTTGAGTTCTTTTTTTTTTTTTTTTTAAATTAGTTGAGTTCCTTATTTAACACTTTACTAAACTACAATGGACTACAAAGTAGGGTATCTGAGTGAAAAAAACTCAGTTTTTTTTAAGTAAAATTTTGAATTCGAATCTTATAAATGAAAAACAGGCGTTAAAAGAGTTTTCTTCTAATAGGGTCTGACATGATTCAATTCTGAATTAATTAAGATCCAATGTAATTATCAGATACCAAAAGATTAATATAAAAAAAATATCTGAAGGCCTCACCTTATCTGATGGGATAATATTGTGTAATTTAATAGTTTAAATTATATAATATTTTATTATTT